TATGCTGTTGACAGATCCTCTCGCATCAAATGTGTCCTCGGATTCACAGTTAATCATTCGCACTCGGTTTGACTTTAACTTGCTCAAGAAGGGTGGGGCTTGGTCCTCTTTCAATCTTCCCAACGAATTAGTACACGGTAAAGTAATATGTTGAGTTCTTCCTGGAATTCTCTGGGAATTAACATTAAGTTGGAAGTGATATTTATGTTCTGTGGATACTGATGATGCAATATCATATAGTAAATCGTGCATTCTGAAAACGAGATCTGGGCTGGCTTGCTGGTCTTCTTGGAAGAAGGATCTGGACCACAACTCTTTGAAGCACTTGCTACAGGCGACTTCAGGAGCTCGGTTTCCATCTGATGATGGAACAAGCCCACACGCAGTCCATATATAAGCCGTACTTAAATAGGCAAAGCTAGCGCCACTAAGATGAACACAGTGCAAAACATTGTTTTAAGTGGGATGGCAAATGATTGTAACACAGTTTCCGGATACGTAATATGTCGTCCTTCGTCTGTGCGGATCTACACATGTCGTCGTCCCCACCAGCTCCCAAAACGTTTGTTGTCCTTCAAGTACAGTAGGCTGCCTAACATCTTCAATGCCAGAGGAACTCCCCTGCATCTTTCTACGATTTCATTTCCAATCTGGAGGAGACAGGGACCTATTTCCCGTTCACTTTTCACAAACGCCCATCTCTTGAATTAGGACACTTGAGTCTTCATGTGAAAGGCCCTGTAGGTTGTACACCGATGCAAAACCCACTCCCACAGGAGCTGCTGAGTCGGGTGGGGTCACAATCACCTTGCTTCCATCAGCGGCTTCTGCCAATTCGTCCCTCAAATCATCCCATTCATCCCGGTTCATTTTCCTCACACCACCTAAGAAGAGTTAGAACTTTCCGCGACTTATAACGTCTTTTAGAAGAGTTTGCAGCTGGCGATAGTCCAAGTTGTTCAAACTCTGCTTAAGTGCACATTGGACGATTCTTTCCATTATTAGCCGCATGCTACAATCATCGGCATACTGACCCAAATTAGCAAAGCAAAGTGCTCCCTCACTTTATTGTCATTGAACACCAATTTAGCAAGGGCAGTTTTGCCCAAATCTCCGATTCCAACAATGGGAATCACTGAAAGGTTTGCACCATCTGTAGGCAGATCTTGCCGCATCAGGAGCTCAATGATCTTGTCTTTATCAGCCACCCTCCCAATGATGGGATCAAATCCTCTCACCAAGTTTGGTTTCATCTCTCTCACTTTTGCTCCTACTAAACCTCCATCACAGGCTTGCTTGCTGAGACCAAACTTCTCAACTGCTTCAATCTTCCTCCTATCTCACTAATCTTTTTGCCCATTTTGAGGTGGAGTATGAAGGGATTAGAACAAGAAAAGAAGCTGCATAACTTGCCGAGTTTTGGTAGTTGACTGTTCAATTTGTTTCTTGAGGCTTCAAGTTCACACTGGACATTAGCAAACAAGTCCTCAACATCATACAAGACATCCTTAAGCTGCTCTAACCATACTCTGAGCTTTTGGCTGTATGCCAGTTTCTCTTCAGCATCCGGAGCACTCCTTTAATGAAAGTCAATGCATATTGAAGCTTCCTCAGCTTGGCTTCAATGTCATCATCAACCAGGGCATCTTCTTGAAGGGCAAGAGACGTCAGCTTCTGCAGGACCCCTTCAGTGAAGCCATAGAGCACTGAACTCTCCATTCCCTGGTTTGTGTTGGAGTTGGAGGATTTATGCTAAACTAGAGCCACTCAGTAACTTTAAAAACAAAACCCAATTCAGCTCCAATCAAGTACTCTTTAAGGACCAAAGTACTTAAATCAGGACTCCTCCGGCTCTACAACACTGCTAGTTTTCTTCTCCACGGTGTGGTGCTCGGAGCATTACGTACGTCTTGCGTCACACAAAAGCGCCACCATTTAGAACCTTACCTTATTAAAAGCTAAAGGGAAGTTACATTTCTTAATGAAAGACCATGTAAAACCCAGTTTCAACTCTGCTTTTCTTGATTGCCTGCACCAACACTATATCAAAAGCAGAGTAGACACGTACGTTTTGTTTATACAATTATTATGGCCTCACATGCGAACCCACCCTAAGTTTTTAAGTACTCGGAGGTTCGTTTTCCATTCTTCGGGGATAAGGACACCACAAGAATCTCCACTCTTTAGGGAAGACGTGAATTAGCGAATCAAGGGTCTCCATATAAATATAAAAATATAAATCTATTGGCCCTCCCCACATACTACCTGATATTAGGGAAAAAAACGTGTGAAATTTGGCTAAAGTTTCATGGAAGGTTCACTCATCTCTCTCTAAAAGAATAACCAGGGTGTTTCTCTCTCTCTCTCTCTCTCCTAACCAAATAGACAGCAAAATTGAGCAAGAAGAAAGGTTTAGGGGGCCATTAACTTAGTTTTAACTGATTAATGATTAACAATAATTTAACATATCATTAACTAAAACTAATCAGGGACAAAACACAGACTAATGTTTTTACCCAAATAACAATTCTTGCACCACTCCTTCGTTTGCCACTTTAGGTGGGGCCAATTCGATATATCCCAAGTCTTTCCTTAAGGGTCTTGTTGCATCAATTATCAACATCTCGGGCCCCAGTGCAATTTCATATAAATTGGCAAAGTTAATCGTAAGATCATTTAATCACTTGATCATTCAGACGTAAATTTTTTTTTTGGTTGAAAGACAGTTAATTTCACAATGAGATTAAAAAGTTGTCTCAATGTCAAAGAGAAATGAATAGTTTCCAAAGCCAGAAGGCATGAAAACATTCCTCAAGAGGGCAGACTAACAATATGTAGCTTTGTCTTCATCTCTAAAGAAATTACAGGCGTTGAAACGCATTCAAACTACAGCAGAGTGAGTCTCGGTCTACTTAAAGAAGAAGTAGCATTGGTCTTCAACCTGAACACAAGGCACATCAATCCAGAAAATGCTGACACTCTTGGCCTGGGGACTTGGGAAGGTTCAGCAGATGTATGAACTTCGGGAAATAGAGAGTTATAGAGAGCAGTCTCTCTCCAGATGCTTTTAAGCAAACAATCCACATAACCTGCAATCAAACCCAAAAAGAAAACATTCGAATAGTTGATGTTACAAACCTAGCAGGCTTTGTGAATGTGAACCAACAGAGCTACCAAAATGTGAGAGCACTACTGCATATGATCTAGTTATGTCTACTCGTCCTACATCTTCTAACTCTAAAGGTCTCGGTTTAGTAGCATTCTGCTCCTAAAAACAGCAAACTATGTGCTTACAGATAGATGGTTTTCTATTTCTATTCCCTAGACGAGTTTTTGAGCAAAAATACCCGTTTAGTAACTACACAAAATTTCCATTCCCGGAGTTGAAAAGGAACAGAAAAGCGTTTAATAGGACACAAAAAATTTCTACTTTCAATTTTTTCATTCAGTTATATAATTATCTATGGAGACTTAACAATTCATGTTTGGATAAAATTGGACTAGAAATAGAATAAGAATAAATTATGATATAGAATTGGATGACCTTAATACAATCATAAAGAAAATTACTCCTTATAGACAAAGTAAATACCGGGTGTATTGAGAAAATTACAGTTTAGGGGACTTAACAATTCATGATTGGATAAAATTGAACTAGAAATAGAATAATAATATATTATAATATAGAATTCGATGACCTTAATACAATCATAAAGAAATTACTTCTTATAGACGAAGCAAATATCGGGTGGTGGTTGAGGAAATTGTAGTTTAGGATGTAGGATTTTAGAATTTAGGGTTAGGGGTTAGGATTTAAGGATTTTGGTTTTGAGGTTTAGGGTTTGGGGTTTTGGGTTTTAGGTTTTGGATTTTAGGGTTTAGAGTCTGGGGTTTAGGTTGTAGAGTTTCAGGTTTGGGGTTTTGGGTTTAGTGTTTCGAGTTTGGGGTTTGGGTTTAGGGTTTGGGGTATAGTGGTTTAGGGTTTAGGGTATTGGGGTTTGAGATTTATGGTTTAGGATTCGAGGTTTTGCGGTTTAGCGTTTTAGGATTTAGGGTTTGGAATTACGATTTTAGAGTTTAGGTTTTAGGGTTTCGGGTTTGGAGTTTTTGGATTTAGTGTTTTGGGTTTTAGGGTTTAGAGTTTTTGATTTAAGTGTTGTGGGTTTTAGGGTTTGAGTATTGAGGTTTAAGGTTTTTGGGTTTAGGGTTTAAGAGTTAAGGTTTATGATTTTCGGGTTTAGGGTTTGAGGGGTTATGATTTGGGGTTTAGGATTTAGTATGAGAATATCTTGTGCACCAGATTTGGGGTTTATGTATATTGTTTCTCCTTTTGTTCAAAAATAGAGTAGTCACGAACTTTTTTTTTATTCCAAATCTATTTACGGCCACTTTTTTGCGAACCCACAAAAAAGTTTTTACATTATTAATATGGATTTCTATTTTTGTTTTCGATTCTTAAAATAAAAAGGACAAAAAAATAAACCAAAAGAACGTCACTAAACATACCTTAGACAAGAGCACGATTTGAGGAAATAGACTTAGTACACGAATATACATCCAGTTATTGTCAAAAATTAAAAAGGCAAATGGACTATCGACTTTGTTATATTATTGTCACGAAAAAGAGATGACACTGTACAAAGTAGACATTCAATGAAGAACTAAATTGTGATATCTTATACATTGATTAATGTTTAATGATATATAAACATATGATTGACTTATACTAATGAGGGCCATTAACTTTAGGTGGGGTCAATTAGATATATCCCAAGTCTTTCTTTAAGGGTCTAGTTCTATCAATTGTTAACATCTTGGGCCCCCACACAATTTCATACAAATTGGTAAAGTCAATCGTAAGATCATTTAATCACTGGATCGCGCAACTATCATTGCGCGTAACAGCTCAAATAGATGTCGATGTGTCACTAGGTGCTAAAGTTTTAGATATTACACATTCCTTTGAATCCATATTTCAAAGATCATTTAGGCAAAGTTAATTTCACGATGAGATGACAAGTTTTCTAATGTCAAAGAGAAATGAATAGTTTCCAAAGCCAGAAGCATGAAATTGTTCCTCAAGAGGGCAGACTAACACATTCAAACTACAGCAAAATGAGCCTCAGTTTACTCAAAGAAGTAACGTTGGTCTTCAACCTGAACACAAGGTACACCAATCCAGAAAATGCCGACACTCTTGGCCTGGGGACTTCGGAGAGGTTCGGCAGATGTATATAGAGCAGTCTCGCTCCAGATGCTTTTAAGCACACAATCCACATAACCTGCAATCAAACCCAAAAAGAAAAAAAAATTCAATTAGCTGAGGCTACAAACCTAGCAGTCCTTGTGAATGAGAACCAAAATGTGAGAGCGCTACTGCATATGATCTAGTTATGTCCACTCGTCTGACATCTTCTTCCTCTAACAACAGCGCAACAAAAGGACCAATAGACTTAGTACACAAATATACATCCGGTTGTTGTCAAAATTCAAAAGGCAAATGGACTGTCGACTTTGTTATATTATTGTCACGATAAAGAGACAACTGTACTAAGTAGACATCCAATGCAGAACTAAATCGTGATATCTTATACATTTATTGCATTCATCCCAAATCGTCAGTGATTCAACTCCACTAGAATTAGACTTGTAGATGGAACAACCAGTAAACAAGAAATGGGTAATGAAAAAGACCGAGACTCAACTTAGTGAGAAGAAGAAAAGAGGATATGCACGGCACATACCTAATGATCATTTGATTGGATCACTTTCCAGTCGACCTTAGAAGGACACTTGAGAAACCTCAGGCCAAAGCTCACCATCTTCCACCGGACATTTTCTACTCAGTTCAGGGCAACCTGCAATGTGCAGCTCTTGGAGTGCGCTGAGCAAACTCACTCCTTGCATCGATGACAGTCGAGGACACCCAAAGATATGAAGCTTTTTGAGATGTTTAAGATCTTGCAGCCACTCAGGTAGAGCCATCAAGTTTATGCAGTCAATAATGTGCAACTCCTCTAAGGTGTCAGCAGAGGCCTGAAGCCACTGTGGCAAGTGCACCAATCGCTGTGAAGCTGAGACCATGAAGAAACGAAGCTTCGGGAAGAGGCCCGATTTGTTATCCTCGAGCTGAGTCAACATGAGCTTGTCACAACCTGTGATCCTCAATGCCCCCAATGCAGTCAGTTCACCCAGCGGCAGAGACACCAGTCGTGGACAATTCTCTATTTCCAAAGATAGAAGGTTGTTCAAGCATACTCTGCCTCCAAACAACACTTCTAGATTTCCACAATTACGGATCAACAAGTACCTCAAAGATTTCATGCGATGAATTCTACTGTCGAGGAGACTTTTCTGCTTCGTGGTCAACCACAGACATCGAAGGTTGATCATCCTACCCATGTCTCGAGGCAATTCCTCTAGTCCTGAGCACCTGGAGACAGATAAAAACAGCAAGCTATGTAGCTTACAGATAGCATCCGGAAGTTTCTTCATGCGGCAATTACCCCCTAGGCTAAGCACTGTGAGATGCTTTAACTTGCCTATGGAACCCGGTAACTCTTCAAAGCTGGAAAAGGACAAGTGCATAAACCTCAAGTATTCGCACTTAGACATGCTGTCAACAGATTTTCTTGTATTGAACGTGTCCTGGGAGTCACAGTTAAACATTCGCACTCTGTTCGACTTTAACCTGCTCAAGAATGGTGGGGCTTCGTTCTCCTTCATTTGCCCCGACGAAAGAGTGTGCAATAATGAAACATGTCGAGTTCTCTCTGGAATTCTCTGGGAACTACGACTAAGCAGGGAGCAATCGATTTGTTCCGTTGACACTGATAATGCTAGATCGTAAAGTAAATCATGCATTTTAAAAGAGAGAGATGGACCCCTCTGCCAGGCTTCTTGGAAGAAGGATCTGGACCACAACTCTTTCAAGTACTTGTTACAGGTGTCTTCAGGAGTTCCGTCTTCATTTGATGGTGGAATGAGCCCACACGCTGTCCAAAAATAAGCCGTAGTTAAATCGATGGTGATGTGGCCTCTATGAAAAACTGAACACAAGGCAAAACACTGTTTTAAGTGGGATGGCAAATACATGTAACACAGTTTCAGGATGCATAGAATGTCCTCCTCTGTTTGTATGGATCTACACATATCGTCATCTCTCACTAGTTCCCAAAATCGTTCGTTGTCCTTCGAGTACAGTAGGCCGCCCAACATCTTCAGAGCCAAAGGGACGCCACTGCATCTTCCTACAATTTCATCCCCGATCTGGAGTAGACGCGGGCGTATTTCCCGTTCGTTTTGGTCAAATGCCCATGTCTTGAACAAGGACATAGAGTCTTCATGTGAAAGGCCCTGCAAGTTGTATGCCAGCAGGGAACTTGTGATGTTAGGTACTTTCGCATCTCGAGTGGTCACAATAACCTTGGTTCCATCGGCAGCTTCGGCCAACTGAGACCTCAAATGATCCCACCCAGCCCAATTCATTTTCTGCACATCATCTAGAACCAGTAAGAGCTTACAGCGACTTATTATGCCCCTTAGAAGAGTCTGCAACTGGGGATAGTCCAAGTTGTTCAAACTTTGGCCAAGTTTACTCTGGATGATCCTTTCCACGATTAGCCTTGCATTAAAACTACCAGGCATGCTCACCCAAATTGTCAGAGCAAAGTGTTCTCGCACTCTATCATCATTGAACACCAAACTAGCAAGTGTAGTCTTGCCAAAACCTCCGATTCCGACGATGGGAATCACCGAAAGTTTCGCGCCATCTCTAGGCGGATCTCGCTGCATCAAGAGCTCAATTATCCTATCTTTATCAGCATCCCTCCCAATGATGGGACCAAATCCTCTCACCAAGTTGGGTTTCATCTCTCTCACTCTCACTCCTACTACACCGCCATCGCAGGCTCGCTTGCTGAGACCGAACCCCTCAATCTCACCAACCATCTGCTTCAATCGTCCTACTATCTCACCAATCTTTTTGCCCATTTTCAGATGGAATGTGAAGGGATTAGAACAAGAAAAGAAGTGCCGTACCTTGCCATGTTTTCGTTGTTGACCATTCAGTTTCTTCGTCAAGGCTTCGCACTGGACATCATCAAGCAAGTCCTCGACATCATACAAGACATCTTTAAGCTGCTCTAACCACGATCTGAGCTTGTAGTTGTGCCCCTGTTTCTCTTCAGCATCCAAGAGCACCCCTTTAATGGAAGCCAAAGCATATTGAATCTTCCTCAGCTTGGCTTCAATGCCATCATCAACCAAGGCATCTTCTTGAAGGGCAAGCGAGCCCAGCTTCTGCAGGACTCTCTCGGTGATGCCATGGAGCACTGAACTCGCCATGTCTTTTCTTCTTTGCGGTTTGTGTTGGGAGAGGTTGTCTTGGACAGGAGCTACTGCGAAATTTATCCTAGCTCTTTAACACTGTTAGTTTTCTTTCTTGATGCCGTGGCGTCGGGAATATCACATCACAATGCTCCGGTCATACGAGAGCTCCACCATTTAAGGTTTTAACCTTTTGACAAAAACTGAATGGGAATCCTACATTTCTCGATTGAAGAGCCCGCGTGAGACGCACTGTATCAATAGTAGACAAGTGATAAGCTTCTTTATGCAATAACTTGGCCATCATGCATGCGAGCCCACCCAACTCCCAAGTGCTCGATACTAAATCATTAAAACACTGTAATCTAAAGTTTGTCTTTTGACATGAATTATGAGTTCATTTCACTGATAATGAGTAATTTGAAAAATATTTTTCAAAAGATGATCGCTTATATATTTTTAAAAAGTAAATGAATGGAAAAAATTTTCATTGCTCATGAAAATAGTTAGGTATGAATTATTATTAATGATGAAAATATTTTCCGTTAACTAATTTTTCTAAATAATATAAGCAATCGTTTTTCCGAAAATATTTTTCAAATTACTCATTTTCCGTAAAATGAACGCACCCTAAATGAAAATGTATTTTGAAAATAGCAATAATGAGGATGCATTTGTATACCATTAACTTAAATTTTAAGTCGCAGGAAATGTACTCTGAAAATTGCAGAAGATGATATCTGCATGGAACTAAAATATGTAAATTAATGTTTTCTGGATTTGTATTGTTGTTTAAACTTCAAAGATAAGGAAGCCATGAATTAAAAAAAGCCACTAGCGGCGCCCGAAACTTCCTTGAAGCTGTCCTTGGCCATAATCCACACAAGTCCGCAAGAAAAAAATGGTCATATTCCATTCAAGTCGTCAAGAAACAATTTGATATGTAAAGACAAGAGATTCCCATCCTGCGTCTTTCTTTTTTATTTATTGACGAAGTCGAGGACTCTGATCTAGTGATCTTCTTGTCGGGATTGAAGACTTTCCGGCACTTTTGTACGATTCTGAACTAACCTTTAACTTAGGTGGACAAGTTGATCCTTGTTCTAGCTTTATCTGCTAAATTCGGTGCACCGGCAGGAAGAGAAAAGGAGGTCCCCATTTGACGACGACTAGCGCTTCTGTTCGTTGGGTTAGACCCCCCTAATGAGTGGTCTAAACCAGACCCCCGAAAGGTCGGTCTCGGGGCAATCCGGGACGAGCAGGTGCAGGAGGTACGATCCGGGACTCCCGAGGCCTGCTGGATTCCTGGCTTCTCCAGCAACATTGGGATAACTAGCAGTGTGACGGCCGAATTTCGGGCCTTATGTGACGGTCTTTCACCAACACGAAAACTAAACATACATGCCCGAGCCAGTTATTGAGTCAGATGCTAGCATATCCGTAAGCGCCGTTGTCAACGACTGTTCGTCCCTCAAGACCCTGGTTGAACTTGTTGTGGTGGAATGCTGGGGCTTACTGGCGGAGTTCGAACGGCTTTTCATCAAGCATGCTCACGGTGAAGCTAACCAAGTTGCGGTTGCCTCAGCTCGGTCAGGGAGCATTCACCGGAAGACTTACTGTATGTTCGCTGAGCGTTATACACCACGTTCTGTACCTACTACTGGTTAAGTACTTTTAATACTATTATTCCCTTTCTGCCCTTGAGAAGCTATGTGGGTGCCATATATATACTCTGCTAATCCAAAGGCATGACCGTAGTTATTTGACTGTCTGGAAGAAAATTGAGGAAAATGACACAAGCGTTCCTCGACTCAGTGTAAAAAGGTCGTTCCTAAACTTTCAATTTATTCAATGTGATACATGAATTATTGGTAAATATCCAATGTAGTCCTGTTTACTAAACACCGTATTATGTGTTGAGTTGGATTTTAAAACAAGTCAACATGTCCTTTTTTTTTTATTCATTTACTTTAGAATTGGAAAAAACAATTAGGGGTTGATGTGGATTATTATATCCTGCTTTGAGATGAATATCTTATTTGGATGTTCCACGGGTAACTTGTTTTTATTGTTCACCATTCTAATTTAATGGCTTGGAGACATATCATCAGATTCTGTTAATTTGAATTATCGAAAAGACACTATTGAACATTTTCATAAAGTGTATGGACTAGATTAAATATTTACTAGTTCAGAGACCACATTGAATAAATTGATATTGCACATTAAATCAAAATTCAAAGACCATTAGTATATTTTCCCGAGTTACTCAAAACAAGATTCGAACTCATAACGACGACTAATATAGAGGGGGCCCAAGCCCAAAGCTTTCTTCCCTAGTTGGGTTCCTGAAAGCTAAATGGGCTTTGCATGATCAAATGTTGAACAAAGACAAGTGTATTTTTATGAGTTCCTCTTTTTTTTTAGTCGAAGAGTTTTTGTGAGTTCACGGGTCAATTGGTTGAGGACTTAGAAATGAGCATGCCGGGAATAGCAATGCAAATTCCGTTCGTGGTAATTAAAGGTTAATCACTAGCTATGGATTTCAATCACTCGATACATATGCAATTGGTGAACATTGATGGGAGTCCAAAGCCGATTTTTCGACAAATTGGTAATGTGGCATACTCGTGACCTTCTTCTCCAAACGTCATGTTGTTGTCTCGCGAGCACCGCATCAACATTTAGCTGAAAATTGGATTACATTTTTAGTCAAACTTCATCAATAACAAGAAGTTGAAAATTTGGTGCATCACCTGATTAAAACCAATTTGTGATGAGTGCAGAAACCTTATTTAAAGTTTTGGTCATTGACCAATTGAAAATGCAAAATATTTATTTTGTTCAGTTGAGGACTTAGAGATTTGAAAACGCCACCAATCAAAGTTTCCAGCTCTTTATTAGTAGTATTTTAGTCAATCGACAACTTGAGATTTTGAAAACGTCCTGATTAAGTCTCCAGCTCATCATTAATGATATTCAAGCGTTTGAAATGACACACATAGCAAATGACCCAATATTCCACGTCGGAAACATCTCCCATTTCAGATGCCTAAATTCCAATGACGGCAAACTTGAGAACTGATTAAGGTTATTTTGACCAAGCTAATACTTTAAATCATTTGATCAATAGCCAAAACTTTGAATCTTATTTCTGCACTTATCCTAAATAAATTCACTCACCTAACTTAAAAATTCTTAAATTAAAGATTCATAAAAGGGAAAAGCAATGTTGTTCACAAGCTTTTCAGATAATCAGTACCTAACCCAATTAACAGTGCAACATGTTTTTTATTCCCACCTACAAACAAGGAGGGTATCATGTGAATTTCTTCTCAAACTGATTGCTTTGCCTTAAAATTCAAGCAGTTTTGAATTGATCTAGCTCTAGATTAGCTTGGGACTTAAAACAGCTCCCTCTCTGATTGAAAGAAAACTTTCCTCCAACCACTTTTCTAGTTGATAGGTCCGAACCATCACGTAATTTAGGACGCAATTCACAAGAAATCACCTCTTGGACGCTCTTTATAAAGAAAACATTTCTTATATATAGATAAAAGTTAGATAAAAAACAGGAAACATTTTCTAACTAGAAAACCTACTTGAATTAGGAAAGTTAATCCCTCATGCTCAAATTTGAGACATATTTTAAAAAATCTCGGTGAAGCCATAGAGCACTGAACTCGCCATTCCCTAGTTTGTGCTGAAGTTGGAGGGGTTATGCTAAACTAGAGGCACTCGGTAACTTCAAAAAGAAAACACAATTCAGCTCTAATAGAGTACTCTTTAAAAAGCACTTGAATCAAGACTCCTCTAGCTCTACAACGCTGTTAGTTTTCTTCTTCACGGCATGGCGCTCGGAGCATTACCTATTTCACAAGGCTTGTGTCACACAAGAGCGCCACCATTTAGAATCTTACCTTATTAAAAGCTAAATGGAATGTTACATTTCTATGCAAGACCATGTGAAACCCAATTTTAACTGTGCTTTTCTTGATTGCCTGCACCAACACTATATAAAAAGCAGAGCAGACACAAACGCTTTGTTTATACAATTATTATGGCCATCGCATGAGAACTCACCTAAGTTTTTGAGTGTATAATATGGACTCGGAGGTTTGTTTTTGATTCCCCGAGGATAAGGACTGTCACACCTCGAATCCTACCAGAATGAGGGAGTGACAAGGCCATCCTTCCACCCAAATGACGCAGCCTCAAACACCACCAAAGAACCAACTTCCCAAAATTCCCGTCAATATCGCTCTCGCTCTTATGGCCGCTAACTGAGGGACCTAAAAAGATTTGGAAAAGAGAGGGGTGAGCAACATCAATCCAGTGAGTAGTGCGTATCTTTTCTAAGCAGATCAAGCATCCACTATACATGTTTAAGACACAAAAACATAATTCATTACATCAAATTTTAGTATATAACAAATTTATAAGAAAAGAATGAGTTATATACACCTAAAAATAGCTATATTTATAGCAGAAATATCAATTTCACAATAATACTAAATCAAATATCAATGGTCAAGCCTATTGATCAATCTCATCAAAATCACACGCCAATAGTCCATTCCATTTGTCAATCTCGTGTCATACACTCCTTGCATCGACGACAATTGAGGACACCCAAAGATATGAAGCTTTTTCAGATGTTTAAGATCTTGCAGCCACTCAGGTACGTAGAGCCGTCAAGTTTATGCAGTCAATAATGCACAACTCCTCTAAGGTGTCAGCAGAGGCCAGAAGCCACCACGGCAAGTGCACCAATTGTGGTGAAGCCGAGACCATGATGAAACGAAGCTTCGGGAAGAGGTCCGATTCGTTATCCTCCAGCCGAGTCAACATGAGCTTGTCACAACCTGCAAGCCTCAATGACTCCAATGCAGTCAGTTCACCCAGCAGCAGAGACTCCAGTCGTGGACAATTCTTTATTATCAAAGATAGAACGTTGTTCAAGTATACTCTGCCTCCAAACAACACTTCCAGATTTCCACAATTACGGATCAACAAGTACCTCAAAGACTTGATGCGATGAATTCCACTATTGAGTAGACTTTTCTGCTTCGTCGTCAAGGTTGATCATCCTATCCATGTCTCGAGGCAATTCCTCTAGTCCTGAGCACCC